GGAACAATAAAGGAAATTGCTTAAAGGAACCTCAATGTGTCTTTCTTGGTCTCCGGGATGGAGGCGCTAACAAGTACTGGATCAATCAGTGGTGGAACTCAACCAGTTCGCACCAGTTCAACAGAACCAGTAGCTAATTTTTTGTTGCCTAGGTCCAGAACAGACTTCCGGAAGTGGCATCCAGCCAGAGAACTGGTTGTTCACCTGTTTGAATCCCACCACTGGGAGCAACTATTAGCTACTTTTAGCAGATGCCAGTTCTAAGGATTGCAGTTGCTTTGTTGAACTGTAAGAAGGTAATCTGGATTATTCTGAAGCTGCCTTCTTCTCCATATCTTCACAGATTAATGCCGAGTCTCATGTCCGCAGATTGGAGGACAACCTGTCTGAAGCCAATGCCCGAGTGGCTGAGATGGAAAGGAATCAAGCAGAAATCAATGCCATCAGGAACAGACTCCAAGGTTGGCTTCCTTGGGTGATCCTCAAGAGTTCCACTCTTTTGTTTCATTTTACTGAGTTATCAAATGTCATGGTTGTCCCAAAGGTGCTTTTTCAAGAGGCAGCTGGACTTTCTTGTTTTCCTTTGAAGACGTTTTGCTTCTCATCCAGGAAGCTTCTTCAGTTCTGGCTGGACGGTGGGGAAGGGCAGGGTTTATATTCCTTGCAGACAGTTGGTCATTTGCATTCTTTTAGAGGGTCCTTGAGGCCACCTGGAGGTTTCTCTGTGTCTCAGGGTCACCTGAGGGGTGCAAATGGGTGTGGAGTCTTCCTAAGAATCCTGACAACACAGATAAACCCCCAGGTGGCCTCAATGACTGTATAAAAGAATGCAAATGACTGAGTGAGCATCAGCCAACTAGTCATCGGTCAGATGGGTGGCAAAATCAATCAATCGATTACCCAGTTCCCCTCCTCCTTCCTCTTTTAACCCTTCCCCTGCAGCTGAGAACAATGATCTGAGCCGGGAGCATGAAGAAAGTCAGTCACGGCTCAATCAAATCCTTCGGGTCAAGACATCCCTCGCTTCCCAAGTGGACGACTTCAAGCGACAGCTGGATGAAGAGTCCAAGGCAAGTCCTTGGAACGATGGGTCTGTCTGCTTATTCAAATCCAAATAATGGAAACCAAGCCCAAAGACCAATAAAAAGGGAACTCCAAATTCATCTGGTTCCGAAAGTTGCGAATCAGAGCACGCAAAGACCCCCTGTGTTGATGTTCCTCACTTGGGTTTTGGCCACAGATCCCAACATCCTGGAGAACCTTCTTCATGATGCCGTAGGAGAAACTGGTTGCCCTAAAAAGCAATAGCATAATTTGGGGGACATCTGCAAAAAAAAAAAACAACACACAAAAAAACCACACAAAAGACTTTGGCTTTTAGGAGGATGGTCAAAATCTGTCAGAAATTCAAAAAATTAGCTATCCACAAAGCTTTGCTCTTTTCTGATAATTAAAAAAAAAAAGAGTTCCTCTTTATGATTTTCATCTGGCTGGGCCTGAGGGTTTTTAACAAGAGAAATTATACACAAAGGAAAGGAAATATGGGGGAAAAATACATTAATCAGATACAACTTTGGTGCGTCCATAGGGCCGCAGTGCTGCAGTGGTCAGTCTGGCCAACACCAAGCATGACCTGGATTTGATCAAGGAGCAGCTGGAGGAAGAGCAAACCGGCAAAGCTGAGCTCCAGCGCTTGGTCTCCAAGCTCAACACTGAAGTTACAACCTGGAGGACCAAATACGAAACCGATGCTATTCAGAAAACAGAGGAGCTGGAGGAGACGAAGTGAGTAAGACGGTGGAGCAAAGCTGTGCTGTAGGTCTAGGACGCCTAGCAAGCCGTTGTGGGATTCTGAGAAGTTTAGTGATGTCTAGAAGGCTGTTGTTTTCGATGATGTAAGACTCATCTCTTATCTGACACATCTTTTCTTGTCTTGGGGTCTTCTTGCAGGAGAAAACTGACCTCCCGTCTACAGGAGGCAGAGGAAGTGGCTGAAACTGCCCAAGCTCGGGTAGCCAGCATGGAGAAGTATAAGCAGAAACTCCAGATGGAAGTGGAGGATCTAACTCTGGATCTTGAAAAGGTCAGATTAACAAGGTCTAAACCAGGGGACCTCAACCTTGGCAACTTTAAGACGTGTGGACTTCAACTCCCACAATTCCTCAGCCAGACTTCTGGGAGTTGAAGTGACCAAGGTTGAGGACCCCTGGCTCTAAACTGATGTTCCCTGGGGGATGAGGGTCTCTTCTTGGCCCCGAGCCTCAACTGACCGGGTTTGCACAATGCATCAAGGCAGCACCAAAGAAACCAGATAAGGTTTATCATCATGTGTGAGCTCAGCAAAGAAATGGGCGGAAGCGAGTAAACAAGGATATCCAGGGTAATGAAAGCTATCCTACAATTGCAAATAGGCTTATCGTTAAGATCTTTCTGATCTTGGATGGTGGTGAACCCACATAAATGGATTCCCACTCCTGGAGGGTTTAATAGGCTGTTTTGAGACCACGGTTTGCTTAAAACAGAATAGCAACAACAACTGGAATTGTTGTGCAGTCTTGGAGAGAGGTCTAGAAACAGCAAAACATGGATTCCGAAGGCTACGATTGCCCACCTCTGATTTAATATGACTAACCTTATCCTATTACCCAAAATGAAGTCACCAAGCTTAAACCGCTAGCCACCAATTGTAGGCACCATTCTTATCAATAAATAACCAGCCAGGTTCAACATCAGTACCAAAGTGGGTAAGGTTGATTCCTTGTTAGAAAAACTGCCCACCTTGAAAAGATCTTTCCGTCAGAATTATGAAGACCTAGCGACGAGGCTTGGAGTAGAAGCGAGAGGATCAGAGGTGGAGTGTGTGATGCTTGTCTTCTTCTTCTCCTTCCCAGGCCAACTCAGCCTGCGCAGTCCTGGATAAGAAGCAACGGGCCTTTGACAAGATGCTGTCTGAATGGCAGCAGAAATGTGAGGAGCTTCAACTGGAGGTGGACAATTCCCAGAAGGAATGTCGCATGTACATGACAGAGAACTTCAAGCTCAAGACAGCCTATGAGGAAGCTCTAGAGCAGCTGGAATCCGTGAAGAAGGAAAACAAGACTCTTCAGGGTGAGTTCAGGTGGTCCTCAACATACAGCCTTTCATTTGGCGACCAAAGTAACAACGGCATTGAAAAAAATGATTTACAACCAGTCCTCACCCTTGTGGCCATCACAGCATCCCCCGTCATGATGTAAATTTGGGCTGGCTTGACAACCAGCATGTACTGATGATGGTTATCATGTCCTAAAGTGATGTGGTTGCTGTCTGTAAGCTTCCCAGCTGGTTTCCAACAAGCCGGTCAGCTGGAATAAGTCTCATCTGTCCGTTCATCTTTTTTCACTCAGAGGAAGTTAAGGATCTCGTTGACCAGTTGGGTGAGGGAGGAAGAAGTGTCCATGAGCTGCAGAAGATGAAAAAGAAGTTGGAAATTGAGAAAGACGAGCTTCAGGTGGCCCTGGAGGAAGCTGAGTCTTCCCTGGAGGTAAGGTGGAACACGTTAGCATCTTGCGTTTGTTTAATAATTCCGGCTCTTCTTTGTCACCCATGCATCCTTGTCTCAGAGAAGTGGGCCCAAAGGTTCAGACGCAAAAGGTTATCTCGTCACATGAAAAGAGCCCTGGGATTCCTATGTGGGGAAACTGAGGCCATGGTTCTTCCCATCTGTTTGCTGACAGGTGGAAGAGAGCAAGCTGATCCGCATTCAGCTGGAGCTGGCCCAAGTCAAAGCAGACATTGACCGGAGGATCCATGAGAAGGAGGAGGAATTTGAAGCCACAAGGTTTGAAACCTATTCTCCAGAGGTTGTGAGGTTCCTCTCCCATCATCCACAGAGTCACAGGTCCCAACTCCCCATAATGGTTGTGGGTTGGGGCGATAGAGTTTGTGGTCCACTGGACCTGGTGCCACTTTATGAGGGAGGGGCTGCATTCCAGAGGACTGAGAGACAGCAAAGTTTAAATAGCTGGGTTGGGAGGAAGAGGGTCAAGTCAGCTCCTCCTTAGAAGATCTCAGAGGATATGCAAGTATTTTGCTTTAATTTGGCAAGAGTCTGCCTATAGGTGGGGAACAATAAAGAAGAACCTCAATGTGTCTTTCTTGGGTTTTGGAGCCTGACAAGGACCTTTGCTCACCTCTGTAGGAAGAACCACCAGCGGGCCATCGAGTCTCTGCAGTCTAGCCTGGAACTAGAGGCCAAAGGGCGAGCAGAGGCCCTGCGGCTGAAAAAGAAGATGGAGACAGACCTGAATGAAATGGAGATCCAACTGGACCATGCCAGTAAGAACAACAGTGAGCTGGTCAAGACCTTGAAGAAACTCCAGCAACAGATCAAGGTGAATGAAGTTACAGGAAAGGGGCCAGAAGAGAGCAGAGGAAAAGCAATAACTTCTGAGTCTTCTCCTCCATAGAGCAGTCCCTTCTCCTATTTTCCTCCCAACGCCCATGAGATAGGTTGATCTGACAGAACACCTGGTCCAAGGTCACTTAGGAAGCCTATGTGGATGAAAGTAGGTTAGAACCTGCTCCTCATCCAACCCTTTCACCCCTCCATTTCACTGTCTCTTCTTGAGAAGGTTCCTGATGTGGTTAATCAAGAACCAGGCTGAAGATGTAGCCAGGACTTCAGAGCCAACAAAAAGTAAAGCTACCCTAAACAACTCATATTTAGGCTACAACCCAGAAGGAATCTTGTTGAAGGCTTGTTGCAGAGCAAAGTGTAGTAGATGTCCTCAAGTAGACACTTGCAGATTCCTTGAGGACTTCTCCTGCTCTTTGTCCCAAGTTCTAGTTCTACCCTAGATAAAGGTGAATATTTACCTATCAGCGGGTAGATTTAAGATTCCATTCTGGACATTTTTCTTGGATCTCCAACCCCTTGTTAATCAGGATTGATCCCTGATGACTCAAGACTAAGCATGGGCTTTTGACACTTTTCTGCCTCCAGGACGTACAGATACAGATGGACGAAGATGCGCGCAAACACGAAGAGCTGAGGGAACAGTACAATCTTCAAGAACGCCGGCTCAGTCTTCTCCAGACGGAGTTGGACGAGGTGCGCACCGGCCTGGAGGGCAGCGAACGCTCTCGCAAACTCATCGAGCAAGAATTAGTGGATGTCTCTGAAAGGCACAACGAACTCAATGTTCAGGTGAGTCAACACCTATGGCCTCCATCTCCTACGGGGAAGAAGGAACAGGCAATGAAAAACAGGCCACTGGCTCTGGTTTTTGTTTTTATAAACCAGTGTTTTTCAACCTGGGCAACTTTCAGATGTGTGCAAGGCTGGCTGGGGAATTCTGGGAGTTGAAGTCCACACATCTGAAAGTTGCCAAGGGGGAGGAACACTGACTTAAATAATCCTATTGGGGAATGGGTACTTAATTAGATCTGGCTATTGTACAGAGAAAAGAGGAATTTAAATCTTATCTTGGGCAAGAAATAAGTATCACTTTTAACCATTATGTTTTAATCTACATATTACACAAATTCCCAAACTTCGCCACACCTCAATCACCCAATCTAGCCTTGTGACAAGATAATGTGGAACAAATCTTGTCAGTCAACAGCTGATTTACCACCAGTTTATCAGGTACTTAAGAGGTGAGGGCCAGCAGCCGCACAAGGAAACAAGGATAAAGGACTTAGTAGCTGGCTGTCAACACCCTAATTAACAACTAAAACCTACACAGAACCAGGAACCACATAAATCCAACCTATAGGACAGCCCAGTGCACATATTCCTGGAAAGAGAGAAGTTCCCTGAAGATGGGATCCAGCACAAGCCCCGAAGCTTGAAAGAAACCACCTTTGGTCCCAGTGACCAATCCAGATTGGATCCTGTAACGAATCTTAGATTAAGTTTTGACAAGCTTTCCGACTTTCCCCATGCAAACTTCGTCTCTCTTCCAGTTGCTTGGCCATCCTCAGGAAGGTCTTGATCCATAGTTTCAGCTCCCCTGGTTTAACAGATCCCGCTTTGACCTCTTCCTTCTGCAGAACCAGAGCTTGCTGGTGATCAAACGCAAGCTGGAATCTGACCTCACGCGCATAAGCAACGAACACGAGGAACTCATCAGTGAATTCCGATTGGCGGATGAGAAAGCAAAGAAAGCGATGACCGACGTGAGTTCGTGGTTCTGGAGCTTGGGGAAAGCTTCCCTGGTGCATTCCCTTGAATGACAGAACCTATTTATTTATTTATTATTGAATTTATTTGCTGGCCATCTGGTGATAAAATGACACCTTTTCAAAGGCGTGCTCTGTTCCTGGGAGTTGTCGTTGAAGGCTAGAACGTCCGTTGCCTTTTCTCTCTAGGAAAGCGGGGATGGACAACCTCTGGGCCTGCCAATCTTTCTCTAAGCACTTGCAAAATTTAAAATTTTATAATGTTTGGGTGGAATTCAGTCCAACCTCCAGTTGCTAATCCCCTTTCCTTTGCTGCCCCTCCAGGCTACCCGCATGGCTGAAGAACTGCGTCAGGAACAGGATCACTCCATGCATCTGGAGAAGATCAAGAAGAACTACGAGGTCACCATCAAGGACCTGCAGGTGAAGATGGAAGAAACTGAGCAACTGGCTTTGAAAGGTGGGAAACGCACCATCATGAAGCTGGAGACTCGGGTAAGAACTTTTCCACTCCCCACCCCCGTCCAATTTCCAGTTCCTAAGCTTCCCACGTTCTTGGTGGCATCTGACCAAGGTCATAGGACATAGAATCATAGAGTTGGCAGGGACGTTGGAGGTCTTCTAATCTAACCCCTGGGTCAAGGCAGAAGACCTTATACTATCCCGGACAAGTGGTTTTTATGGGCAGATTGCAGGGGTCTTTTCATGAATTGTAGAATTGGAAGGGATCTAGGGGGTCTAGTCCAACCCCCTAGCCAAGGCAAGAGTCCTTACTCTATCCTGGACAATTGGTTATCCACTCTCTTTTCACAACCTTGGTCTCGGTTTCCTTTTTCAGATTAAGGAACTGGAGACCGAACTGGACTCTGAACAAAAGCGTCACGTGGAGACGGTGAAAGTGCTGCACAAGAACGAGCGGCGTCTGAAGGAGCTGGTCTTCCAGACGGAGGAGGACCACAAGACCAACCAGCGCATGCATGAACTGGTGGAAAAGCTGCAGACCAAGCTGAAGACCTACAAGAGACAAATTGAGGAGTCTGTACGTATTGTCACTTTTAAACAAAGAGGTAGTCCTTGACTCACAATTGTTCTCCCGCCTTCTGGCCTGGTGCCTTAACCCCTTAGACCAAACTCTACATGCCAGTTGGGCAGCTCTGTACATTTGTTTAATAAATAAATAAAAAGACCTCATCTTCATTGCAGGAGGAGCAAGCCAACCAGAGCTTGGCCAGGTACCGGAAAACGGTGCACGAACTGGACGATGCTGAAGAGCGAGCAGGAATGGCGGAATCCGCGCTGAACAAACTCCGCACCAGACACCGTCTCTCCACCGGCAAAGCCTTCACATCCGTGGAGATCGTCCAGGTCTCCAAATCGTCCAGCTCCAAGTCAGCTGCCGAGGAATAAAACTCGCCTCTGTCCTTGCAGTCGGTAGGTATGGCATCACTAGGCCACAGTGGCACGGAAGAAACCCCATTGGCTGAGTTTGTGTGTAGGATGCTCTTGCGCCAATCCTGACTCCAAGGTTCCAATTTTCAAGCTGAAGATCCCATGAAGAGCCAGCATGTTTTTCTTCTGGGGCTCTGCTGTGTGGGAGCCACCAAAAAGGATTGGAAGGAAGGAGAAAATGGATGGGAAGCGTGTTTTGGAGATCTCAGCAAGCACTTGACCTGGGAAATCTTCAACTAGACTAGACTAGATTAGACCCCAAACTCTTCCACTCATGAAGTTTCAGATTATCTATCAACCCCCGTACTAAATGTCTGTGGAGTTTCTCAATCACGGTTGTCCCAAAGCTGCTTTTTCTAAAGGGCAACTGGACCTTCTTGCTTTTTTTCTTTGAAAACACTCTCATTTCTCATCCAATGAGCTTCTTCAGTTCTAACAGTTAGAAGCTTTTTGGATGAGAAGCTTCAAAGAAAACAGCAAGGAACTCCAGTTGCCTTTTAGAAAAAGCACCTTTGGGATAGCCCCCATATTACTTTAACTTTATAATATGGTTAATGATACTAGTAATAATAAAATGAACCTCTTTGGCACTGACCATCCTCGGACAATTGTAAAATAACACGTTACATGGTACAATGATAGCTTTAATATTATCAAACAAACAAATCTGCCTATCCTAGGTCCTTGGGAAGGACTCCATGAAGTGGATAAAAATGCCAGATCCAGTCTAAACATCTGGCTGTGTGCAACCAACCAGAATAATAATATTGACCTTGGATAATCCTGTTGGCCCTTGGGAATTGATAACTGATCACTTGCAGGAACCTTTACCTAGACTAGGGGTAGTCAACCTTGGCTCTTTTATGACTCGTGGACTTCAACTGGCTTCAACAGCTGGCTCAGGAATTCTGGGAGTTGAAATCCACGAGTCATAAAAGAGCCAAGGTTGACTACCCCTGACCTAGACCGAAGCCCAACCTCCCATCTTGGTTGTCCTTTCCGAGTTTGCTTTTGTCTCCCATTTGTGCTGTTGGTTTGTCACCGACCTTGGTGCCTTCTTTTCTTCTGCTTTTCCTCTCTCTTTCTTCTGGTTTGCCCCGGCTAAATCGCCTTTCCTTTCTAGTCTGACAGGCTAAGCATCTCAGATGACTGCACCCATGCTTGCTACTGTAGGGAGGACTGGAGCAGCCTGAAGAGTTTTAAAAAAGGCCTTTGCAAGGAAGTAAGAGAAGGCGAGCGGAAGGGAAGCGCTTCTTGATCTTTTGGGGGGAAGAAAAGGGGTCGGCTAACTATCTGCCAACCGTCTAATTTTCTTCATCAAGAAGGTGATGGACCGTAGACAAGTTCTGAGAGTCTGAATGCAGTTTTGCGTTTTCATGTCAAGGACGGAAAACGTTAGGGGGGTCCAGCTTGGGCTGTCTCTTGTAAATGCTACCCTACTTCATGCTGAGTGTGAATAAAGCTTCATTCCCTGGAAAAGATATTTGGTGGAGTCCTTTCCTTTCCTATGATCCCTTCCCTTAAAAATAACTTACAATCAGTCCTCACAGTTATCATTAGTGCAGCATCCCCATGATCACAATTCACACATTTAGCAACTAGCATGTATTTATGACATTCGCAAGGTCCCGGGGACACAAGGTCATGATGTATGACTTTCTCAGCCAGCTTTCAACAAGCGAGATCAAAGGGAAAAATCAGGTGATTTGTTTAACAACCACAGCAAGAGATTGTAAATCTGGATGCGATTCACTTAATAACTGACTCACCTAGCGATGGAAGCTCCGGTCCCAACTGCAGTTGTAAGTTGAGGACTGTGCATCTGTGGGGGAGGGGGTTGAGACCCAACCTTTCCACTTTCACCTTTCCCCAGCAGCAGAATACCTTTGGAATAGTAAATGTTGTGTAATTTTTAACTGAATCAACTGCAAAACTTTTTAACTTTTTTTTTTTAACACACATAGCCCAGAGTCAGCTGACAGGGCAACAATTCTTAGCATTAAAATTTATCATTTTTGTATCTAATTCTCCAGAGTTCTGGTGAGACTCAGTCCCAACACTATACAACCCACACTTGTCTATGGATAGATTCACACAACCGTTAGGCCAAATGTGATTTTTTGGGACTTTCCTTTAGCATGTTGTACAAATTTGCCCTAGTTTCTAACTCCTGGTTCAAGATTCAAGTATCACGAGTAAAATGTGTGTAACAAATCCAGTTGCTGCGTGTGCACAAAACACATGTAACATACGCAGGAAGAAATTTAGGAAGAACTTTTGACCTCATTTATTACTTGAAGAAACAAAAATTAAAAGTGTTTCAAAATTGCCTATGGTGCCTTAAAGAGTTATGGAAGAAAGTTAAATCTTGGAGAAATCACATGTCGTTTTAAGCACCAGAGGTTCTATTAAACAGACATATCAAGATGCATCAATTTGTGAAATATCATTTATATTTCACAAATAGGGATATATTGCTTTTGGGCGAGATCCTTTATTTCCAAGGGAAGTTTGCACGGGATGGCAGTTTCTCATGCTCAGTCGGATCCCTTCTTCGAAAACAGAAAGTGGGCTGAAGTTCCACTCGTGGCCCCTTCCCCAAAATTGCAAACAGCAGGAAAACCTGTTAGGAGAAAAAAAACAAAACAGAAAATCTGCAGTCTGCAAAAAACGACACGTTTCCTTCCCTGCACCCGTACGCTTATCTGCGTGGGGAGAAACAACCCAGCCCCTTCTGCAAATATTGCTCCTATGCCCGAGAATATTTCACACAGACTTTTATGTTGCTTTATTTTAATCTCCAGTCACCCTGCACCTGCCCCATTCCCACGCCGTGGTCTACTTCCCACCCGCGCAGGCGCACTACATCTCCAAAAAACTCTCTTACGCAGTCCCGCCTTTTTTCCTCCTCATCCCATCCCGTCTTCTCGCGCAAGCGCAGTCAGGAGAGCAACCCTTTCTTCCGGGACGCCGCCCTCCCGAGCGCAGGCGCAAGAAACTCTCCTTGCCAGTGCAGAGAGAAGCACCGCCTCTCAGGGGTCAGAGGGCGAGGCCTTCCGTCCGACCGCGCAGGCGCGCGGCCACAGGGAGGGAGAGATCGCGCAGGCGCAGTGGCCTTGTCCCTGCTTGGCGACCGCGCCTTCCTGTCATTGCCGTCGGTCGCATCTCGAGGAGCGGAGCCGCGTTGACTGACCAGAGTCCGCGAGCCCCGCTTCCCTCAGGCCCGGGAGGTGAGTGAAGGCCGGGGGGAGCGGCGGATCTCCGAGGGGGCAAGGAGGGAGGCAGGAGTCTTCCTTACCGGAGGGGGGGCGCGAACCCCCTTTAAATAAATAAACAAATAAATAAATGTAGGTGATCCCCCCCCCTCAAAACAATTTCATTGAGTGGGACCAGAATGGGCTTTTAATAGTAAGAAG